TGTAGCAAATTAGCATCAGCTTTGAAGGTATGTCGAAACCTGTTATTTAAATATTTTAAATGACTAATGAACAAAACAACACAGAAAAGCTCATTTTGTCGCATTAACAACTCAAATGGGCGTATATCTCATTAATAATTTGTGTATATTGTTTTAGGTGGTAGAGGGAGTCTATGTTATAATAATCACTATAAACCATCTTCTATAAACCCATCTTAAAAAATATTCAAACCTATATACACAAATAATACAATGTAGGTGATAGTATATAGCAAGTAATTAATCACTATGCGTCATAAACTATGCCTACACAAAGGGTTTGTACGTCACACTTACTAAATAACCTCATAATGTTACATAGTGCAGGAAGTGTTAAATAACCTGTAGCACTCATTCATTTACTCACGCGAGTGTTTGTATATACAATCATAGATATATACAACACGTGTGTACATATATAACATATGTGTTGTATATATCTATGATACAATGGAGCATTTATTTAGTCGGTAACTACGACTATACTCTATGACTATACTAACTACTAGGCGCTTAAAATCCACGTGTGAAAATGAGTTTAGAGTCAATATTAGCAATCCCAATCATTTTGAAATGACATTGTGTAAATGTTGTTGTAAATGTAAACAAAATCCTTACTGCGTGAACATATTATCAGGAGTAGTATATTATCAGGAGTATACTAGTATATAATAGTATATTATCAGGAGTAGTAATATTATCCCTACTATCTACTCCTGATATTATGTAGGGCACGCGCCCCGCAGGGTGTAGATGCGGCTAGTATTGATCGCACATGGAGAGTAGTTTACACACACCAACCTATAAACCATTCACCATTAAAAAAAAATGCGTAGCATGCCAAACATAAAGCACTAACATAAACATAACCCAGCACAAAGCAACTGTTGTGTGCCCCTCACACAAACGCTTATTCACATCCGCACACGTGCATGCATCGTTCGTTTACAAACGTAAAAAAATAAGAATGCCAATGAACATATACGTTTTGTTAAAAAAAGGCACATATTTGGAAAACATATCAATATGCGATGCGTGAAACCTTGTAGCCGTGAAGCAGTCTGACACCGTGTGTGAAAAGTGACAGTGAAACGTGTGTGTGGCTTCTTACAGCATGCAGCTGCCGATTATACATCTGGGGCAAATAAAGGAAAACTACGTACTAAATACAACCACAACACACCGATGTAAACACAGCAACATGCCACAGCCACCTGTCTGTCCTCTTCTTCCGCACCACGCTGTGGGTGAGGGGTGCCTTCTCTCCAGCCAGCATTCTCCTCGTGGGGCTTCCTCTGTCGCTTTCATATTCCTGGAGACACTGATCCTCCGGTATCTTGCTGAGATCTGTCTGTCTCACCTCCTCACTCTCCATGTTTGCTGTCGACCGGCGAGTGAAAGCGGATGGCGTTTCACACACGCACACACGCACAGTTCTACACGCTGTTCATACGCAGTTTACGATTACATAATCGGACGCACGTGGCTTCACGGCTTTGGCCCTCCATAATTCACAGCTGTAACTAGGCAATCCCATCGTTGTCCGCCTCCGCTAAGGTTATAATCATTCCGAAAGTCCATCGCCGGCAAACGCCTCGGGTATTCACAGAAAGCCGAGTGTCCGCCAGATTCACGTCTATAGGTGATCATTAGCCGGCTATTTAGAAAGGCCATGAGGTGTCTTGGTGGCCCAGGGGCATGCTACCGCAGCTGGTGCATAGAGCAATCGAGTACGTATAGTAAGTATTACAGGGCGATCCTCAGCGCTTCTCTCACTGCGCTGATAGCCGCGCGTGCTGTCGAGTCTCTATGCTAGTCGAGTCTCTAGGCTCTCTCTAGGCTACTCCCTCCGCACACGATACGTTGTGAGGTGGCTCCCACACGAACACGCGTTTGCGTTTGCGCTGGCAATCACGTACTATAATACAGCTACTCTGCGCTTCTCTATTCACAGGCGAGCCGACGTCACAAACGACGGCGACGGCGCAGCGCGCGTAAACCGATCCAGGCAGGCTGCAGTGGTCGCGTGACGCACGCGTGGCATCAGCATGGCTGCGCCTCGCGCGCTCAAACCACTATCCCCGCGCTGCAGGGATGAGGCTGCACCAACCCTCGGCTCGGGTGATACTCCATTAGGAGTGTTCCCTACTTTAATGTTATTAATGGTCATAATAACATGTATATATATATAATATATATATGGTCATGGTCATATATTAGTTTGTGGTTTAATGTCATTTAGGTTAGGGTTAGGGTTAGGATTATCAATCATTAATCATTAATCATTAATGATGGCAAAGTTGGGAACACCCCTAATGGAGCGTTAGCCAAAACCTCGTATCCTCCCCCCACCACCGCCCACTAGATAGACGGCGACAAGAGAAGACCGCGTCTCTTCATGTTGCTCATCCTCGAAAAATCAATGAATGCATGTGACATTATGTCACAACAAGCTGGAAGCTGTATTGGAGACCGAATAAATCATGTACTTATATTAAGGTTTCTATTTCTTGAGATGCTACGTTCATGCCTTTGGGCACCTATAACATGTACCAAAACTCAACTAAGCTCGTAATTTTTCTGCCATTTGTGTTGAAAATGTGTATAGGATATTTGGGTTCATTAGGTAATATCCTTTTGGCTGTTGCCGCCTCATCAGTCACTGCGGCTGCGGCTTATTTGGTCTTGTTTTGCAGCAAATAAATGGTTACCACGAAGATTACTGCTACTCTGCCCCGTAGCTATACTCGTCGCACTACAGCTCTAATGAAAATTGGCTTATCCGGCGGAGCAAATTAACCACATCTACTTGGATATTGTTGCTAGGTCGTTCAAGCTAGCCCTAGCTACACATTTTTCTCAGGCGTAGACGCCAAGTTATCGATTTTGTCAAGTTATCGACGCTGTCAAGTAGAAATGAAAGTGTTGAGAAGAAGTGCTTTATATAAGGGAATAATGTTGTTTCATCAAATCAATGTGTTGTACATTCGAGATTTGTTGGAAGATTCTATTCTGCAAATTAACAACATGAAAAAAAAGGTAGAGAAGCAAAGCTTACCGATGGATCAGTGGTTTCCTGTCCAGCTAATCAGAAGTAGATAATAAGCTATTATCTACTTCTGAGCTAATCTATCTAAATAATGAAGGGCCGGGTGAGAGCAGTTGGGGGCGTCTGGTGGGCACACCCAACCACTGAATTATTCTGGCAGTGGCCATTCACGATACCTGGGACTATATGCCGAACATTTCCCAGTTGGTTCCAAAAGGTTTCCTTTCCAGCTAATCTAGCTCAATTTTGGGAGTGGGGGCACTTGGGGGCGTCTGGCGGATGCACCCACCACTGAATTATTCTGCCAGTGGCCATTCACGATACTTGCGACTATGCCGAACATTTTCCAATGGGTGCCAGAAGGTTTCCTTTCCAGCTAATCTAGCTCAATTTTGGGGGTGGGGGCAGTTGGGGGCGTCTGGCGGATACACCCACCACTGAATTATTCTGGCAGTGGCCATTCACGATATCTGAGACTATGCCGAACATTTTCCAATGGGTGCCAGAAGGTTTCCTTTCCAGCTAATCTAGCTCAATTTTGGGGTATAGGTTTTTGAGGTCTGGCGGATGCGCCGCACCACTAAAAAATTCTGGCAGTGTCCATTCCTGATACCTGTGACCATGCCGAACATTTTTCAATAGGTTTCATGGGGGTTCCTCTCCAGCTAATCTAGCTCAATTTTGGAGGTGGGGGCAGTTGGGGGCGTCTGGCGGATACACTCACCACTGAATTATTCTGGCAGTGGCCATTCACAATACTTGAGACTATGCCGAACATTTTCCAATAGGTGCCAGAAGGTTTCCTCTCCAGCTAATCTAGCTCAATTTTGGGGTACCTTTCAAATGACCCCACTGACCACACCCACCACCGGTTGCCTGGCAGACTTACATTTCCTTACATGGGTATGTACCCAAATCATTGCTATATGCATGAAAATTGGTTTCCTTTCCAGCTAGGCTGACCCCCCTGGGCTCCCGGTCTATATAATATATGTAAACAAACACGCGTGTTGCAAGGTGCCTGCCTCCGATATCCATTTTGAGGCCCGCTAAGCCAAGTATAAAGCGTGCGGGCACGACGTCACACACACAGCTACGTTCATTGGCTAAAACAATCGAGTAGCAAGGTTAGGAATTTTCGGAATTAATTAATTTTAAGAAAAACTTCAATGTTCAATGAATGACGAACTCGTTCACTTCCGAAAGCGAGTAAAAATGCTGAATTTTTCCACAGCGATGCGAAATGCATCGGCCGGGCCTTTCATTATTTACGAAAAGCAAACAGTCTCGCCAAACACCTACACGCATTAACGGGTCACATCGTTGACGCCCCATTCATGAATAGTAAACGAGGAAGGCGTGGGGCTTATTTGGCTTACGAATATCAGAAAATGCGACGCAACAAAGCCACGCAGGGCGCTAAATAGCGTGTTATTTCGTATTTATGGCAAACTCTATCGTATGAAACGGTTCTAGCGTAGCAGAATGCCCTATTTCCTGAGATCGGTGATTTCATGCTCAATGGGTCCCCACCTATGAAAATATAATAGAGAGGTGCGGCGTAGACTGTGATTGGAAGACACAAAGTGTCAATCCTCGGCGAGCCTCGTCACCATGACCGCATCACGTCAAGACAACTAGTTAGATAGATATGTTCATAATAATATCATCGTGAATACTTAATAAATTGGCTGTATCTCTTGCACGTGCGTCATGCACGTAGCACGTGTTTGTACAGAGAAGAAAAGCAACAATAATAAGAGTTGCATGGAAATGGATCAAGGTTTTTGGGTTAAGTTTAGCATGCTTAGTTTATCGTGTATAAAGCTATAATATATAATATAGCTATATCGTGCATAAAAACACACAAATAGCAGAAAGTAGATATTGTGTATATATACATTTATTTAAAGTTATTTATATGATAACTTTTGATATGTATGTACATAATTAAATAGGTACTTTAACACCATTAAAATTGACAGCATAAGCATTCCTCTATATCAAATTAATCACAAAATTACAGAATCTCAAACAATAATCACCCCAAAAGACAGTGATAGCAATTTAAAGCATCGCAATATCAGCTGGCTAAAATGCCAATTCACAATTTGTTGGAGTAAATCAGTTGATTAATTATACAATCAACTAGCGCTATCTCTTTAGTACAGTAATGAAAACGTCTCTTGGGACAGAAATGTTACCAATCTTGCGCATTCGCTTCTTGCCTTCTGCTTGTCTCTTTAGCAGCTTCATTTTTCTGCTGACGTCTCCTCCATACTGCAATGCAAATGCCGACAAACTACCAATGACAAAAGTAGCTAGTGGCTACAGAGTTAAACGATTTTCGAAAATCTATTAACATCTCAGCTCATCTTATTACGACACATAAAAGCATGTTCATTACTTTAAAAAAATAGTGTGACGAGCAAAAAAATGTCTATGCCAATGTCAATCTACATTTTACCATCCACATAACAACATGCTCCCAACCTTGCATATCTATTGACCTCGAATCTGTGGCTGTGCCTGCTAAGACACATTTACACTGTATAGTCTTTGTGGGAAATATAGAGCACTTACGCATTTTGCAAGCACGTTCTTTTTCAATGCTTTTATGTTCTCTCTAGCTAGCACTTTGCCACCGACCACTGCCTGGATCATGATATCGAACAGCTGCCGGGGGATGGAATCACGTAGCTTCTCACAAATGCGGCGTCCAGTGTCGCGAGCGCCACCTAGATTCACTATATGTGTCAACTCATCGACCTCGACGCTGTTCAGCAGAAACCGCATCTGGAAAATCAAAATTTGTGAAGCGCATGCTGCCACCTATCAGTTATCAGCTGCACTAAAACAACAAATTCACATGCTAGTTGGACAAGCACTTCCACAGTTCCACATCTGACAGCAAGCAGTCCTGTGGCCTGGAGTACTGTGGCAAGCTGGACTGCGGACAAGTAGTTCCACATCTGATCAGATCATTCTTCTTCATTATTATTTATCAAATAAGTTCATTGGATTTCATGGTACTATCATATAAAAGTAAGTCTATTTCATGATAAATCCATCTCCCTTAAGAATGGATTTATGATAAAATATATCCATACTTTTATATTATTATTCAAGCTGCACTGCCTCCTCTGCCACAGTAGATCATTAGTATATGCCTACATATAATTATTTTTATAATTCTAGCAAATATTTATAGGCTTATAAAAAAGACAATATAGAGTAGCAAGTAACAAAAATAGAGTAATACAGCACCTTGACTAGATTTGCCACCTCATAGCCAGCATCTTCATAATCAAAGCTAAAATTTAAAGAAGGGTCTGAGAATGAGGCACACTTCAGGAATGAAAGGTATCATTAGTTACATAGATGCGAACGAATTTGTGTCAGTGCTCTCTCGTGGTATCTTTGCTGAGCAACCTGCATACAAGATATGTACACAATACTGTATACGCTGTATATATTTCGCGGTGGTTTAATTTTCGCAAATTTCGCGAACGTGTCTTGACCGCGAAAATAACAACAAGCGAATAGTTAATACCAAATAATACCGAATATTTCATAATTCACCGATCGCGAAATTAACCACTCGCGAAATTGTCCGTCAAGTCTGAATTTGCGAAAATATCTGTATGCGAAAAATATGGCGTATACAGTATACGACGTTGTCAAACGTGGACAAACATGTTAGATAGGCTCCATTATACTGTGGGCCATATTCTGATGTCTGATGACACTATCTCAACCCTAGACTCAACCCTACAATTTAGGATTTAAAACACTCTTCATGATTTTTTTTTCTGGGCCTGCAAATGGAGGGTGGGGGGCATACGCCGGCTCCGCCCTATGCTGGATACGCCACTGATATTAGAGTGGCTTTGGCCCCCCCAAGAAAATTGTGATTTTCAGGTGTCATCTGGTGCATTCTGAGTAACGATTTGCCACTTTTAAAAACCCAATCCACTACACCTAATTTTTAATAATATTTAGTATCCAAATAAAATCTAACATGAACTGGTATTTTCAGAATTTGAGAAGGAAGAAATGGCTCCATTAATATAGGATTAATCCTTTATTGCAAATTACTAATACTTCAAGGATACATGATAGGTTCAAAGTAATTTTTTATTGAAAATGCAGGTAACCGCAAATTTCTGTAAAAGTCGGGGTTTTTTGGTTGGCCGTGAGCAAAACGTGGACGCCATTCTCCCCACGTGTTAATCTGATTAGCAGACAAACTACGTGTAACATGTGTTTTGCAGGCGTTGCATGAATTAGTCAGAGAGGCTGGGCTGGCAGTTGTTTTGGTAGTGGTCTGTGTAGACCATGCGCGTAAATCCCGGGGGGATGGGGGGGATGCATCCCCCCCCCGCTCTTGAAGGAGGGAGGGATGGCCTGTACAAATATCCCCCCGAGATTTAAAAAAAAACTCCTTCTTCCGTGCCCCACTTGAAAGTTCAGCTAACTATGATAATTTGGAGACATGGGCAGACCTAAATCATTTCAATTACTGCAGGGGCGTGTACAGGGGGGGAGGGGTCCAGGGGGTCCGGATCCCCCCCCCCTGCTCGCGCAGAAAACGCATCTGAAGGGGTCTAATTTCAAAAAAATTCTGGGGGAGGGCCCCCACAACCCCCCTTTGCGTGATCATCCCCCCCACTCCTCGGTACGGATTTACGCCCCTGGTGTAGACGGAGCGTCGCGCATCTTGTGCGGCTGGATTGATGTTATGGAGAGAATGGTAAACGTGTTTTAGGTCGGGCGTATCTAGGGTCATTGTGAAATGGGGGTAGGACGCGGTCTGGGAGAACGGGTTAATGTGCGCTCAGGATGTAGGGGTTTTGGGGTAATATATAGGACAGCGATGTAGGAGTCCAGAGGCTGGTTGTGGAGACGGGATTAAGTGGTTTAAATGAGGATTACGAATGGAGCACATGGCTAAACGCATACGCCACGTACGTTACAGCATAAAAAGACGCAAGAGTGAGAGTAAATGCAACAGCGCCTGTCTGACTAGGCTGTTCCATTTACCGGAGACACGCCATATACCAAATGCATAGAAACACATTATAACACTGAGCGATTGTAGGGGGGCGGTGCAAAGCTAAGTAAGAATTGAAGAAACAGAAAAACCAGAAAAGAGAAAGAGAAAGAGAAAAAGCAAGAAAGAGAGAATGAACAACTCTCTTAGTCTTATTCATGTTCGCCATACACTTAATTATATTTAACCTTATACCTAAATAAACCAAGGATCGTGAAGTAGTACTGTAGTCTGTAATCAATGAGGCTCCTCCATGAGGCATGAGTTACTCAGTACAGAAACGCCCCCCTACCATAACAAACAATTTCAGTTTCAGCGCCCTCGTGCGGTTAACTTTCTATTTAACCCAGCTGCTTAATACTTGCTACTGCATTCTTATTACTACTGCTTATTACTTGCTACAAGCCAGCCGTTATAGGCGTTATGGATATTTTCAGAAGTTAATAAAGACATATATATCACTCCTGGTTATCAAAATACCAAGAAATCATCCATAGAGACATGATACAAGATTGCGTGGCACAGCTTTGCTGTTGATCCCGAGCGCTGCGCGCGGATGAGACGCGCAGTTCCGCGGGATATGCGCACGCGACCGCGGGAATGTTCAAGTATGAAGCGCTGTCCGCAGTGGAGACGTGCGCCAAATTCGAAGCCCGGCGCTCGTCTCCACAGCGGTCAGCGGATGGTCTGTAGTTTTAGAAGATAACAATGAAGACTTTGTTCTAAATAAGAACTATCGGCGGCTAAATAAGAGCAATATACAGACCTTTGAATTTCTTGACTAGTCAGTCAAAGGGCTTGTAGCCGTTGTAGGGGGTCCATTATGCAGAGCTTCCAATTGAAATGGCCAATGAAATTGTCAAGTGGAATTGTGTTTTTCGGAAACCCAAAGAAAATGTCTCCCTCTTACATGCACGCCCCTCCCTGATCAATCACGCATTCAGGCGTAAACAATAACAGAGATGAAATTGTGTTTCGTTTGTGGCTCTTGACGCACGTGCATGGGCGTCCGCAGAAAAAAATGCAGGGGGGGCAATGTTGTCCTGAGATCGCCGTCCTGGGGGAGGGGTTTAATAAAAATTTTGCTCCCAGTAAAGAGCTTAGATGCAAAATGGTGGCTCTTTTTCATCTATCTATCTATCATCATCTTTTTCATCTTGATTTGATTGTTATAGAGTCTGGGGAAGACCAGGGGACCGTTGTCTGAAACATCGTAAAGTTAATGCTAATGTTAATGCTAAGATAACACTTACGACTAATGCTAAGACTACGAGAGGAGCGTTGTTTACGGAGAGTTATTTTATTCATTTTGTATTTTCCATGTAATTTTTGCAAATTTTTGATTTTCCAAATGCCCTCCCCCCCTGCGGACGCCCATGCGCACGTGCGTGCATTGACGTATAAGACTGTTGAAAGCACCGGCACTTGGAACGTCTCAATAAAAATAAATATTCACACAATTTTTCACAATGATCGACCGCCTGTGTGCAAAATAGGTAAACGTATGTGAAACATATACGGTTAGTACGTCATACTGTGACATATCCGTGAATAACTGCATGACACCACTAAATTAGTAAAATGTTCATTGCACCTTAAGAAATTCTGAGAAATTCTGAGGTTATCATCGCAGAACTCCCGAACACCGCCCATCCTGACATCATAAAGCTATTAGTGCAGGAGCCCAGGGGGGTCAGCCTAGCTGGAAAAGAAACCAATTTTCATGCATATAGCAATGATTCGGGTACATACCCATGTAAGGAAATGTAAGTCTGCCGGGCAGCCGGTGGTGGGTGTGGTCAATGGGGTCATTTGAAGGGCACCCCAAAAATTGAGCTAGATTAGCTGGAAAGGAAACCCCATGAAACCTATTGGAAAATGTTCGGCATGGTACCAGGTATCAGGAATGGACACTGCCAGCATTTTTTAGTGGTGCGGCGCATCCGCCAGACCTCAAAAACCTATACCCCAAAATTGAGCTAGATTAGCTGGAAAAGAAACCTTCTGGCACCCATTGGAAAATGTTCGGCATAGTCTCAAGTATCGTGAATGGCCACTGCCAGAATAATTCAGTGGTAGGTGTATCCGCCAGACGCCCCCAACTGCCCCCACCCCCCAAATTGAGCTAGATTAGCTGGAGAGGAACCCCCATAAAACCTATTGGAAACTGTTTGGCATGGTTACAGGTATCAGGAATGGACACTGCCAGCATTTTTTAGTGGTGGGGCGCATCCGCCAGACCTCAAAAACCAATACCCCAAAATTGAGCTAGATTAGCTGGAAAAGAAACTTTCTGGCACTCATTGGAAAATGTTTGGCATAGTCTCAAGTATCGTGAATGGCCACTGCCAGAATAATTCAGTGGTGTGTGTATCCGCCAGACGCCCCCAACAGTCCCCACCCCCAAAATTGAGCTATATTCGCTGGAAAGGAAACCGTTTGGAACCCACTGGGAAATATTCGGCATAGTCCCAGGTATCGTGAATGGCCACTGCCAGAATAATTCAGTGGTTGGGTGTGTCCATCAGACGCCTCGAACTGCCCCACCCGGGCCTTCATTATTTAGATAGATTAGCTCAGAAATAGATAATAGTCTATTATCTACTTCTGATTAGCTGGAGAGGAAACCACTGATCCATCGGTAAGCTTTGCTTCTCTACCTTTTCTTTTCATGTTGTTAATTTGCAGAATAGAATCTTCCAACAAATCTCGAATGTAAATGATTGAGTTAATTTGATTTGATTTGATGATTTGATTTGATTGATTTGATGAAACAACAAAATTCCCTTATATAAAGCACTTCTTCTCAACACTTTCATTTCTCATATAGGGCTACAGGGTATATATATCGTGGTTATATATACAGTATAGTCCACTGCAGCAACCCCACTTGAGTGGGACTAATAATGTAAAGGAAGAAAAAGA